AGAGAGAGAGAGAGAGAGAGAGAGAGAGAGAGAGAGAGAGAGAGAGAGAGAGAGAGAGAGAGAGAGAGAGAGAGAAAGAGATGAACAAGAATGAAAGATCTCGAAGTCGTACATCAGAGAGAAAGAAAGACTGGCACAGAGAGAGAGGGTGTGATGAAGAACAATGAAACATCTCGAAGTTGCACATCAGAGAGAATGAAAGACTGGCAGGCAGACAGACAGAACTGGAGAGAGAGAGAAAGAGAGGAGAAAAACAGCACACGGAGAGAGAGAGAGAGAGAGAGAGAAGGGGGGCAAGGGAGGGAGCGAGGAATGGAGAACTACTGGCAGAGAAAAGACATGTAGGTAGACAAAGATAGTTCCTTTGATGCTCATGCAAGGACATCTGATTATTCCACAGTGCATGATGAGAGAGAGGATCCATACTCAGCAGCCGAAGCAGCCGAACCAAAAACCAGCCGAGCCTATTGGTTGGTTATAACAGTCATCAAACACCAACAACAGTCGTTGAAGACCTACAAGACGATTACCAACCGTTTATGTTCGATTTCAAAGTAGTAGCCATGGCCGAGTCTTAAGCCCGTCTTCCCCCGAATAAAACATCCGGTGGTCATTCTGAGCGTTTTTCGCACAACATTCAGTCTAGATGCAGCGAAAAAGACTACGTTCTCTTCGGGTGAAGACGGTACTCCTCTGACACCTTTCAAGAGTCCAAAGAGTTTAACAGATCACTTCTACAGAGTAGTTTTGGAGAATACTTCTCTAGACCGTTTTGCGCACAACATTCAGTCCAGATGCAGCGAAACTGACAGTATGTTCTTGAACCATTTTTTTTACGTTGCGAGAATAATTCTACAACAACAGTTGTGGACATTTCCGCGCCTGTCCTTCATCACCTATGGAAAAATTCTGAGCAGCTTCGGAGATTTCCACACGTCCTTGGTCACCTACAGAACAGTCGTGACAGTTTGGAAATCGCTCCTAGACTAGTCCTCGAACATTCCGTGAAGTCTCATCGAGTATAATGGAAATGTGCTAGGACTGTCCTGAAGAAGCACTTCCAAAGAACTTCTTCTAGTGGACTGTCCCTGAGCAGAGTTCTTTAACAGTTTGGAACAGGTCCGGAACTTCACGGTAGTCCCAAACTGAGTGGAAAAGTCCCACACACACAGTTTGGGACAACAGCAATTCCGCAAGCACTTCCAGAGAACTTCTTCTAGTGGAACATTCTCAAGAATCTCAACCACTGCTCGCTCGTGATGGACCAATCACAGACAATACTGAAGAAACCTCTCGCTGTCCCAGCAAACGGCTGGGAAAGCAGTCCCGGAAGAGTACTATCTTCTTCCCCCGAATACAATGCACAGTCATTACAGCTGTATTGGGGGCATCTTTCAGTCTAAATACAGCTATAATGACTACGTTGAATGCGGGGGAAGAAGGTAGCGCCAGTTCTGGGCAGTCATAGGACAGTGACAAAGCATTGTGTCACAAATGACAACACAGAGGAGACCACATACTACCTGCACATTACCTTCTTCCCCCGAATACAATGTAGTACGGTCATTATAGCTGGCTGCATTAGGGGGCATCTTTCAGTCTAAATAGTAAATACAGCTATGATGACCGTACGTCGTATGCGGGGGAAAAAGGTGGTGCGGTTCTGGGCAGTCGTAGAACAGTGAGAAAGTATTGCGTCACAAGCGACAACACAGAGGAGACCACATACCTGCGCGTTTAACAGGGAGCACAGACGATGATGATGTCGTTGCCGCAGCTGAAGAATCTCTTCTTCTCTCCCCTCCTTCAGTCTTTGGAGGTTGAGGTGTAGGGGGGATGGTGGCATGGAAGGCATAGATCAACTTCTCGATCTTCTCTGTGAGTGCCCTGTGATCATAATGCAACACTGCGCCACAGAAGAGTAGTTATTAGTTAGTCATCCAGGTGCAACACAAAATTCCAGACACCCACTCTACGTAGTCCCGAGGAATCTCCCACACAGCTCAGAGGCCAACGATCAGACGTGAACTGGCCAAAAAATATCTGAGAGTTAACCAAGACGAGTAAAAAAAAAAAAAAAAAAAAAAAAAGAGTGGCCCACGTGTAATCAATGAATTAGCCACGAGTTAAGCCCTAAATCCACCATGAACCGGATGTGAACAAGCAAACGCCACCAACTCTCTCTCTCTCTCTCTCTCTCTCTCTCTCTCTCTCTCTCTCTCTCTCTCTCTCTCTCTCTCTCTCTCTCTCTCTCTCTTTTTCTTACACACACACACACAAACACACTTTCGCGATGCATGAATCATTCACATAGTGGTTGCGTATAACGTAAAGAGAGTGACCAGCACGTCAAGCCAGCCATTTCATGCATCTCAAGTATATAGTTCTGCTGCTCACCTGCAAGACGGTGGCGATCTGCACGCGCTGCAGGGATGTCGATATCAGCACGAGGAAAGCCCTGTTGGTTCATCACACAGGGTGTGCTTGTCAGCAATCCCACCACCAAAACAGCCACGCAGTTGCCACAAGCAACCCATCGAGCATGAGAGGAAAACATGGAACAAACATGGCGTAGATTACCTTAATAGGGCAGGAATGGATGGTGAGTGTAAGTCCGCCGTGCAAAGATTCAGCTGAAATATCGACTGCAGAAAGGAAACCGCGAAGCAAGACAAACTCTAACGGCATATACTCACACTACCGTCTTCACCCGAATAGAACACCTGGTCATTATCATCGCTGTATCCAGACTGAATGTTTTTCCCCTAACACAGCTATAATTTCTGGGCGTTCTATTTGGCTGAAGACGGTAGGGCTTTGCTGAATCAATCCCAATGCTTCAATTACTGACCACACAACGTAATCTCCCTTTGTGCCTATGCCCTAAAAGAGGGATTTAAGTTATTTAACTCATCTCACTGACTCGTGTCCATCTCAGGTCAGTCAATTGGCAGGTGACTCGAATTCCCTCCCTCCTGTTAACTCATTCTCTGCCTCATGTTCATCTCAGGTCAGTCAACAAGCAGGTCACTCGAATCCCCTCCCTCCCGCGCTGAAATACGTGAGAGATCAATGCACTGCGAAGTCGCATTCCCTCTATGCTGCCACCCGCACAGCCAGATGACCACGAACGCATTACAAGACTTCCAAAACCAGTCCTTTTTCATCCCCACAGTCAACAGACAGAAGAAACACACAGCAGAGAAGAGGAGAAGACAAACAGTTTGTTGCTTTGCTTGCTTCCAAACTCGACGATTACCGCCAAAGGATGCGGGCCACTAGTGGTTAATATAGGCGGTGTCAACTTTTGGGCGAAGTTTGCATCGAAACTTCCATACTTCCCTCTGTGTGTGTGCGCGCGCACGCGCGCGCGTGTGTGTGTGTGTGTGTGTGTGTGTGTGTGTGTGTGTGTGTGTGTGTGTGTGTGTGTTGTATGATTCGGCGTATTTGGACCAGTACCGAAAGAGTTGGCAAAAACGCCAAATTCTGAGAATTTTTATCTCTGCCTGTTTGTTTGTTTTTTTTATGCTTTTATTATGAGCCAGCATTGTTTGTTCGCTAAATTTTCTGTACGACATTGATTGTGGTGATGCAGCGAACCCCCCCCCGAATTTTGGGCCTTCCATTAGCCATCTCTCCAAACAGGAGGGGGATTGCAAGCAAGCAGGCAAGCAGGCCAACGACAATGCTGCCATGCTGAGGAGATTACCAATAGTTCACGCACACACACAGAGGCAAGAAGCCACAGCTATGCAGATACGCAATCAGCCAGTCACCCTGCCATGCCCAGAGAGTTATTCAGGCTGGCAGGTCAGTCGGCTGCAAGTCAGCAGCTAGATACGCAAGCAAGAAGGCAGCCATGCCTGGAGAGAGATGCAGCCTGGCACGTACACAGATGCCAGATCAGACGTGCATGCCCGCAAGTTCGACTAGGAATGCGGCGAGCCATCAAGCATGTAGGCAGGCCCGTAGGTACGTCTGCAGGGAGAAAAAAAAAAAAAAAAAAAGCCAAGCAGACAGGCAAACCAGCCAGCCAAACGGCCATGCCTGCAGGCAGGGTGCTAATCTTAGTGAGATTCTGGCTCGAAGAAAGAAAGGGAGTGAGTGTCATACGCAATGTGGCTTAAAGCATCCATCTCTCACCCAATTGGGACCAACGCTGTGGGGACCACAGCATGTTCGGACCGAGCGGAAAAGGCTCGCGAACCACCTAGTCGGTCTACGGTGAAGTTCATGAATCCTGCCGAAACAAACATAACGGCACGACACGTGGTGACCAATCCACTTCTGTCAATCGTAACGATTAACTTCGACATGGAGGGTTCGCACAGGACAAACTGTACACACTGTCTTGCAGGTAACAGACCGAAGACGTGGGAGACCACCACCTAAGGATCCCAAGTTCGCACAGGAGAAAGCATTCAGACTGTCTGCAGGCATCAGATCAAAGATGTGCGGACCAGCACTTACGGATCCCGAGTTCGCACAGGAGAAACCGTACACACTGTCGGCAGGCAGCAGATCAAAGATGTGGGGACCACCACCTAAGGGTCCCAAGTTCGCACAGGAGAAAGCGTACGAACTGTCTGCAGGCACCGGCAGATCCAAGACGTGGGGACCACCACCTAAGGATCCCAAGTTTGCAATTGGTTAGAATTTGGGATCAACTTGGGATCGCTGTCCTTCGGGACATCCATTAAAATTGGAACGATACAGAGAAGGGTAATTAGCATGGCCCCTGCGCAAGGATGACACATAAATGGAGAAATGGTCCAAAAAAAAAAAAAAAAAAAAAAAATCAGGATCGCCGTCCTTAGGGACATCCGTTAAAATTGGAACGATACAGAGAAGATTAGCATGGCCCCTGCGCATAAATCGAGAAATGGTCCAAATTATTAAAAAAAAAAAAAAAAAAAGAATTCACGGTCGCCCGGAAGTGCAAACACTGGGGACGACGGAGGGACCATACTAGTGATTTGATTGATGCCAGACATCACGAAGGGTCCTGTGCATGCTCAGACGGACCACAATGATGGCGATGGGGATAACGTAAGGGGGGGGAAAAAAAAGAAATAGAGAATTCTTCAAGTTTTATTATGGATCAAATTGTCAAAAAGAATGATTTGAAAGGTGATCGTATAATGGTATCAAATAGGGCTGATTCTAAAAAAGATTTAGAGTTTCCTATTCTTAGTGTAATTTCAAGAATAGGAAACTCTAAATCTTTTTTAATTCTAAAAAAGATTTAGAGTTTCCTATTCTTTGGAGGAGTTAAAAAAGCTGCTATTAAGACTGAGAAAAAGAGAAAAGAACGACGATTTTTGATACAGGTTTTTACTGAAATACGTTTAATCCCTATGTTTATTATTATAGGGGTATGGGGTTCTAGACAGAGAAAAATACGAGCAGCATATCAGTTTTTCTTATATACTTGTAATTCCAAGAATAGGAGACTCTAAATCTTTTTTAATTCTAAAAAAGATTTAGAGTTCCCTATTCTTGGAATTACACTAGCACCCAGTTGGAGGTTGGATCTGTAGGGACAGAATCCGATCTCTGGTGGCAAGAGGGTAGATGTAGGCGGGGACACGGCTTGCGATAGGACTTAGGGCTTCAAGCATCCATAGGACTCCGTCTAGGAAAAATGGTTCAGAAAGCCCCAAGTGGCAAGTGGGTCATTCCAAACCTCGAGTGGCTGAACCCCGGAGAGTACTCCCGCGCCTGATACCCCACCTCTACAACAACCTGTGCGTTTCTAAAGGGGAAAAAAAAAAAAAAAAGGAGGAGGAGGAATTACACTTGCTTCACTGATCCGCTGTCTAAAACTTCCTATCACAAGCTCCTTTCTGGAAAAAGTGGCCTCTACAATCATGTACATCACCGTACTGTGCAGTCACGTCCATAACATGAACCTGGCAGATAACATGAACCAGGCAGCTGTATTTGCAGCCAGGTACAGAGTGCCAAGTGGTTGTTCAGAAGAGAAAAAAACACTGTGGATGGACTGGCAAGTTGACACGTAAGACCTGGGAGAAAGAAAAAAACACTGTGGATGGACTAGCAAGTTGACACGTCAGACCTGGGAGAAAGACGTAGCACGTGGATATGGCAGAGATGATGAAGTCAAAATCAGATGGTGAAGTCAAAAGACTCAAAAAGGTCTTTCGGTGGCAGTTAGGAAAAAGACAGAGAAAATGTGAATATAGACAGAATTGAAGTAACTGTACAAACTTACAAAGCCTTTTATTATCAAACAAGGTCAGGAATATCCTGAACCACCAAATTAGTGGTGGCCCCCTATCCATTATACCAAAGAGTCATCAAGAAACCCTAGCTCTTCGGTGGATGTTTATTTTTATTTTTATTTTTATTTTTTGGGACCATTTCTCGATTTATGCGTGTAATCCTTTGGGCAGGGGGGCATGCTAATCTTCCTTATTCTGTATCGTTTCAGTTTTAACGGATGTCCCGGAGGACTTCGGTGGAATCTTTTTTCTTTTTTTTCTTTTTTTTTCTTTTTTTGGTTCTTTTTTTTCTTTTTCTCCTTAGATCTGCTAGGTGATCAATTTAATATCGGTAACGAACATATGTCTAAGCACAGGATTTATCATCACAGGTCTTCTTTTTTTTTTTTTTGTCTTTTTTTTTTGGTTATTTTTTTTCTTTTTCTCCTTAGATCTGCTAGGTGATCCATTTGATATGGGTAACGAACATATATCTAAGGACAGGATTTATCATCACAGGCCTTGGGTGGATTCTTGAAGGGGCCGCCTTGTTGCGACGACGTTCGACCCCCCCCCCCCCCAAAAAAAAAAAAAAAAAAGTACAAACCTCTCTGTCGATGAGGTCACCCTTGAGACCAGGGCCCCCTGGCTTGCATAATCGACTTGTGATTATTTCTATCTCGACCTCGATCTCCTTCCGTTTTTCCATCAACGCCAGCGCTTCTATGCGCGGATTCGTTGCACTGGCACTTGTGGGCATTGTTGCGGCCTTCGCTTACAAGGGATAATCCTTTCAACTAATTAATTGGCCAAGTAAGGATAACCCTTTCAACTAATTAATTGGCCAAGTAATCCTCGAGAGAGCCGTCGCACCTGGCGTGCCTTCCAACAATCTAGCCTGCGACCAAAACACAACAAATCAAAATACACAAGGTCAGTTCCACAAGACCCAAAACAAAAGTGACAACATTAGAAAACC